CAAAGCCCCCTTTTAGGCCATGGAGGAGGCTGCCTTACTGATGTGATTTAAAGAGCAGGGCAGAAGGGGTGGTTGGCAGAGCTCTGTCTGTCCCAGATTACCCATGGCCTTGCTCGGTTTTCTGAAATTCCACCCATTCTCTTTTCTTCTGCCCTCTTTCTTTCTTGTCCTATCCTTTCCTCTCTTTTCCTGCTCATCCCTAGAATAGGCATTGAACCCTGATTATGTACCAGGCACTGTACTAGGTGTTGATTTCCAAGGAATTTTCATTCTTGGGGGAACTCAGAAATGTAAACGAATAACTAAACCTGTGCTCTAATAGTCCAAAATTCTGAGAGAACAAGATGAGGAACGAATGCTTTCTTCCTGAAGTGGAGGATTGGGGTGGCTTCCCAGAGAAGGTGATGTTGGGGCTGACCACTAGAAATCCCCTGCCAGAATGCAGCAGCTGCCCCACAAGGGAGTAAGCACGAGGCTGCCACCCCCTTGGATGGAATGACTCCATGTAACTAGTTGACTGTCACCTACAGAAGAGAAGGCGGAGGTCCTGAAGGATTCAGGAGATGTGACTTTTGAATATAGAACAGGGAGAAGAAAATTACCAGGATGAGAGGTGCTGCCTGAGGGGAGCAGGTGGGAGTCATGGGCAGTCCAGCAACTGTTCACCGTGGAGGGGAAGGAGGAGTCATGTCTTTGTGATTTTCCTTGTGGTCAGACCTCATCTCCATTCATCTATGTGCTGCATTTCCCTGGTTCTCCTTCCTTGTTTTGGATAAAGATGAGGCTTAGCTGGGTTTTAGGTAATTTTGTCATCAATTTTTATTTTGCATCAAATCAGAGTCCAACCTCCTCGTTCTTAAGCTGTTTGAAGATTTTTTTCTTCGCATCTCTTGGATGTTGCTTTTCATGCCCTCATTAGTGTTTCTTACTTTGTCCCTACCAACCCTTGTTCTCTTTCTGTGTATCCACCACCTCATTTTCTGCTCTAGCATCTGCTCTCAGAAGCAGCACTATTTAGGACTACTAATTGGTTTTTCTTTCACCTCACCCACCTTTCTTAAGCATAATTGTTTTCATCTTCTAGGCTCTTGGTTTTTCCCTTGCTTTGGTCCTTTTAAGTTGTTTTTTTTTTTTTT